TTTATCATTTCACAAACAGACATGTAGAACAAAACCATGAGGGTTACAATTAATATTTAACATCAGAGACACACAAGTACAGTTTGGTCCACTGGGGTTTGAGCATTACTGCCTGATGTTAATGTCAAAAAGGACGAAAAAACAAAACATGCAGCAGGTAGATTTTTACAAAAAAACTAAGGAATAACTGCCAACATACAAAGACGTAAATTACACATCAATACTAAAGCCCAGTATCCTTGATGTTAAGCATTCCAATTTCTCCCTAAAAGGATGAACATGCGGACAGTACCAAAACATGTGGGCATGGTCCACTTTTACTAATCCACACTCCCTATAGCAAGAGCACTGGGTCCCAATTAATTTAGATTATTGCTCAGGGGTCATAAAGAACCTAATGAAATTTCTCCAGCTAAAATCCCTGCAGGTCAATGAATTGGTGGAGGTACACCAAATTTCCCAGTGAGTTTTCCTTCCTTGAGGTGATATCCTTGTATAATTTGACTTTAATCACTCTTGTTACTTTTATAGCCCCTGGCTTCTTGCCATGAGTAAATCCCAACTCCTTTAATCAAGGAAGGCCCCTTAACTGTTAAAATAAGTTTATTACAACTATGTGTAGTCGGAATATTAAGCTCCTGCTGTTCTGATGTGATACTGTGGAATACAGCCTGTAGATTAGTTATTGATCACAAAGTTTCTCTTCCACATTGTTATATCGAATCTTTTGCAGACTGTGCAGTATCCTTCCACATTCAAAGATTTTACTGCCATTGTGTTAAGATTAGTGTTTGTTATTTGTCTTAAATAAATATAGTTTAGGACATAAAACATTTATATTCTCTAAATATACAGTAACAGTTTCTATTGTTATTTATTTAAGACAGCTCAATGCGTGTTGTGTCTCAGACCAAAATGCAGGTGGACCAAGAAGGCCAAAGTCAGTGGGAACAGAGTGAGGAAAACAGTTCCAGCAGTAAGGTTAGTCAGACTTGAAGTTTGGGATGTGCTGATATTTTTCTGAAGCCTGTACTAGTACCCTGTGTTTTCCTACTTTTTTTAGAAAGCGTTGATATGCAGATATGATGTCACCAATCGTGCTCGTCCAAAACACCTTTCAGACATGCCTATCTTTAGATAATGAAGATTTTTTAGAAAATTACCTTAATACTTTTCTTCTGTAGCAGATTTGACAGTGGTATTAAGTAACATACACGATAGAAACACAAACAGTTGTCACAAATATGCAAATCCTACGATAGTGAATTTATGTAAATTGTGCATATTGATGCATCGTGACAGGAATGACATGAAATCACATTAATTAGGCTAAAAAATATTAGCATTTGTTTGGTAAAGCGCCCCATCTATAAGTACTGCAGAATTACAAATGAAGTTATGTAAGGGCTACAGCTGTTTTCTGGTTTCCAAATGCAGGAGGGGGCAGCTGGGGAAAAGCAGGACCCAGCAGCAGGAGGAAGCAAGCCCAAAGTCAAGGTGAAGAGTATTGATCTGCCCATCATGGCCAACAACATTCGACAGCTCGACAGTGATGTCCTTAACGACTTTGTGGAGTATGAGGTGAGCGCTCCTGTTGGACCTTGGAGAAGTTGAGTCACGATCTGACTGAAATGCTGATCACCTGAGCACTAATGGGTAGACTGGAAATAAAACCTGATAATGTGCTTGATGTGTGGTGTACTCGTCTGTGATTTTTTCCCATGGTGACTTAACACGTGTTCTTGTCATTGTTCCGTTCTGGCATTTTGAAAGCACCAACTGGCCCAAGAAGGTAGATGTGAGACTTTATGTCTGTGACTGTGTGTAGCTCGGGGCCTGAAACATTTTTTTGACCATTCTCCACAAAGTCAACTAGATTTAAAATGTCTAGCCACTCTGAATATCTGGCAGCTAAAACAATTGTCTTGACATAAACAGCATTATGAAGTACTGTATCCATTTTAACATATTAGTAAAAAAATAAGAATAATATTATATGGCAATAACATGTCATTTAACTGGTATCCTGGTATAAACTTAAAGCTTTTTATTGAATGTGTTTAATTCTGAGGTAATTTTTAATTCTTTATTTTGTGATGTTACATAACATTAAGGTAAGTCAGGAAGGTATTGCTGTTATTGCTTGGCTCCTCTGTGACATTTCTTGTGTTCTTTTTCCTCACAGCGTCAGATGATTATCCAGGACAAACTGGTGAAAGAGCTGAATGACGCAAAAAATGCTGTTGAGGAGTATGTATACGATCTACGGGACAAACTTTGTGGGATCTATGAAAAGTACGTCACTGAGGAGGTGAGTGTTGCTTCCTATGCTAATAATTGTCAGGCTGACATTGTAAAGACTTGTTTAATTGAGAGGATGTACCAAGCAAATGATCCACTACTGTATTTATTTGGTATCTGTTTTATTAACAGGACAGTAATCGGCTGTCACTGATGCTTGAGGACACAGAGAACTGGTTGTATGAGGATGGAGAGGACCAACCCAAGCATGTCTATGAGGAGAAGCTAAATGCACTCAAGGTTTGTTTTTATTTATTCCAAGGACTCTTTCAGATGGGATTTTACAAAGTATTAGAAAAAGCTCTATCAACCCACTGAGATCTACTGAGGCTAAGAGGCATTTCAAAGCCTCTTATTAAAAACATTAACAGAAATTCTGTTATTTTCCAGCGATTGGGTCAACCCATCCAGGACCGGCACAGAGAGCATGAGGCCAGGCCGAGGGCTTTTGAAGAGCTTGGAAAGAAACTGCAACTGTACATGAAGATTGTGGATTCCTTTAAACAGAAGGTAAATCATTTTGATATAGGGAAGCAGTGCCTTCACGTCTTCTTTAAAGTGTCACAGGTTATGGGATTTTGTACAGTGCTTTACAAGTACAGTATGTGTAGGACCTTTCATAGTCGTCCTCGTCTCATTTTAGTAATTTTCTTGTCACTAACTATTTCCTAGGATGAGCGATACCTGCATTTGAGTGCAGAGGACATGAGCACTGTGGAGAAGTGTGTGAGTGAAAGCATGGTCTGGATGAACAGCAAGATGAACACACAAAGCAAAATTGCTATTACTCAAGATCCCACTGTTAAAGTAGCAGACATCATTGCCAAAATACAGGTATGTTAATGGATGTTATAGATTTACTTATTACTTCCATTAGTAGTCATCAGATCTGTTGATTTTCTTTTATGCCAACTCCTCTTACTCGCCAGGAACTAGAGGATGTATGTAATCCAGTGATCAACAGGCCAAAGCCCACAGTGGAGGAGGCCCCTGAAGTGAACGACCAAAACAGTGGCGCTCATAATGGCCCGACAGCCAAGCAAGGAGCAGAAGGGAAGGGAGACGCAAAGGGAAGCCAGCAGACAAAGCCTGGCACGAAAGAGATGGAGGTGGACTGAGATCAGTGTCTGAGGAGCAAGCTCCGCAACCATCACCGTGTTTACCACAAACGACCATTTAGACAGTAGAGACATACCTGGGACCATTTCTCCATCGTCACAAGCCACTTTTGTGAATTTGTTTTTTGTGCCCCCTCCCTTGCCCCACAATTGGACTTAACCTTTGGAGGTTTTTGTTTTCACCCTTTCATCCCTATGTGTGACAATGGTGTGCTTTACTCTCTCAAAGGTTTGACATACTTAATAAATGAAGGAATGATGCAATAGATTAAACTCTGATTCTGACGTAAAACTGTTTCCTCTGTACCACACAGGAAGGTACCCTTTGTATTTGCATTCCATGTGTCTCATAAGCATCCAGCATCAGCAGTAAATCCTATCACTTGTTAAAGAAATAGATGGAGCTGTCCAAACAAATTGCTATTGCGGAACTATTAGTTTGTATGCAGTAATACAAATTATATATATTTGTATTTAATGAGTTTGAAATAATGTCCATGTCTAGAAACTGTAAATACTATTTTAGTAAATAAAAGCAGCCAGCATATATAACATATGTACATATAGAACATATTCCTGGTACAATGGCAATGCTTGATACACCAAATCTCATTAGTACATGATTGGTTTTCTTTTATTTTTGTTGTATTTTTCCATACTTAAATCATGGGATTTAAAGATGGCAAAAATAAATACTTTTGTCTGTAAGATAATTTTTCTTAAGTCTGATTTTTTATTTTATTTCCTGCAACTAAAACTGAAAGAAATTGGCCAAAATCTATACTGTACTCGGGTCTGAATGAAATCCTGGGACAAGGTCAGGACAGCTGAAAAATGTAGGAAGTGTGGAGGTTACATACTGAGATTTTATTGTCATGCAAAAAATGAACTAAATGAGGGTCATCCTAGTTGCCAACAAAACTATAATTGTGGTTCTAAAAATTGCACTTGTCTCCAGAGAAGAACTTTTCACTTGTGATTTCCTCACTCTCAGCTGTTAAAATTAAGCTTTTAATGATATTATGAATGGAGCTCCAAAGTGTTTTAAATGAAATTAATAAATTAGACAGTAATAATTATGTAAATAGCAACAGACAAAATGTTTAATGCAACCAGGAAAGTTTAAAATAATCCATTAAATTTACATCCACCTCAGGTTACTTATTTAGTGATGTATTACTTACTTATTTAATTTTGAACACTTTAGGTCTACCTAGAATGAATGCACAACCTTTGTTCAGACTTAAGCACAGACCTGAAAATATTTTTTTTATTTATTTATTTTATTTAAAAGGGACAGCGTGCAGTAAAACCATGAGTAAAACTTAAACGTTACCATCTGATGCACTGTACCAGATTATAGCTTTAAGCTAATTCGCATCTGCTCTACAAATATAAGCTTTACGGATACAAACTTAAATGTACAAACTTACAAAACTAAGAAGACAAGTATAAAACTGTACCTTAAGCGCACTTTTATATGTAGTTTTAGGAGTTCAACGAGACTCTTAAAGGGGGCGTGGTAAATCCGTTGTTGTCGTGTGACGTAGTGTGACGCAGCGTGTGACGCGAAGACGTGAGTAACGGGCGGATATTTTCAAAATGGAAGAAATGGCAAAGTTTTGGAGGGGAACAGCAGAACAACACTTATTTGCCCTCTGAGGACCCTTGTACTGTCTATAGATGCACGCAACCGAGCGAGGACCATTATTACAAACCCTCATGCATTTACAAGGCGAAAACAAGGCACGATGAGTGTTTCGATCGGCGAGAAGATCGAGGTGAGTTGTCATGTTAGGCTAACGTCCCGCAAGCTAACTTCAGACGAACTCAGGCTGGTAGATTTAGCTAAATTTAAGGTTGGATTTAACAAAGCTGTTAAATGTGCTGACTGGCCGTGCGCTGAACGGGGTTTGTCCCTGCATAATAACGTTGAAAGTGTCCAGAAATCAGTCAGTTTGATACATTTATAGTTAAGTGAAATGTATCAAATGTTAATTCTACTAATAATTTAAGCATGCGCCATTTAATCAGCCAAAAACGTTCTCTGACTTTTCGTTTCACCTTGTTTGTTGTTTCAGATGTCCTGAAAGTAACGTTAGGTGTTTTTTTTTTTACTTAAACTTGCTGCTGTTAGTATTATTATTGTTGTCAGCAGTTGTTGCAGCCTCGGTAACGTTAGTTACCTGGGTGTAAGTTACAATAAGGGCTCTCCCCGGACAAGCTGTTGTTCCTCCTCACTGCGTCAGTTTAGTAACGTTAATTCAGCATGCTGCTTGGAAACGACTACAAGTTGTCCTCGTTAGCGGGAAGAGAGCCGGGATAATTAAAGGTTTTGGTTGGCCATATGACAGCGTCAGGTGTTGGTGGCTTGTTTGACAGTTAGCGTTTGTTGTGGGAGGATTTAACGTTATCCTATGTGAAGTCAGTAGATGCTGGATTGTCTGTTTTGCTGTGCGTCCGTCATGTCGCTGGCTAGAGGCACTGTGTTTGATCAAGTTACTCACTATTTCTTCCAAAACCTTTCTGCTGACACCCAAGCCAGCAGAGATGAGGAGAAATGCGGATTTTATGCTCAGGAGCTCAGGATCGAGGTATCATGCTTTTTAAAGATCCTGTCTGTTATGGGATCACATATAGCAAGTAGTACTTTAAAGTCTGTACTCTGTCAGTTGTATTTTTCTTCTAATACACCTGTAATGTTTTTTAAAAATGTGTTTATTTTCTTCCTTTCTTCTCATGTAGGATTTTAAGGTCCTCACCCTCCTGGGGAAAGGCTCCTTTGCATGTGTTTACCGGGCAAAATCAGTGAAGACGGGCCTGGAGGTTGCTATTAAAACAGTAAGAATCCCTCACCCACCTGTCAGTGATATAGGGTACCAGTAATTATAGAATGCTTTACCTGTAATGTAGATACTTAACACCCAGGCTGTTGCCAGGAACTGACAGTTTATTAGGATTATTAGATGTTAATTGCCTCCCAAGGGCTTTTTGTGATCCCTTGACTCCCCACAAATGAGGTCTGAATAGTCCACAGTGTTTGTGGGCGACAGATTGACTATTACCCTCCAGACCAAACAACCATGCAGCGGCGCAGTACCACATTACATGTTGATGCCATGAGTGGCAGGTGTATAATTATCCCTGTTGTTTTCATCTGCAGATTGACAAAAAAGCAATGCACAAAGCTGGTATGGTCCAGCGTGTGACAAACGAGGTGGAAATTCAGTGCCGTTTGAAACATCCTTCAATACTTGAGGTAACGTTGGCTGGACACAACTCATTTCCTGTTGCTGTAGGTTATTATTGCACTACATTAAGTGGCACTCACATATTTGTTCTCCTTCTTAGATTTTCAGTGAGGGATAAATGTTAAATGTTAAAAGTACACTTTAAGTAGAAACAGACTTCACAATGTCCCAGCTGTGCAGTTAAAGGCAAACAGCACTACTTGTAGGAATTAACTCAAGTTTTTTGGAACATGAAAAAAATTGTCTGCCATTACAGTTGCTCCCAAAAAACTATGTATGTCAGCTTTGTGTTATCGTTGTCATGGTTGTGCAATGTGGAGAACTAGCTCCTACCTCTTTATTACCTCCTATTACTTTGTTCAGTGTTATTGTTCTTATTGTTTCCACTTGACTTAATTTTAGGATCGGTCAACAGTATGCCTTTTGAAGATTAACCAGGAGAGCAGGCTCATTTGCTTTGTCTAGTTCCTGGTGTGAATTTTTAGTAGTCCAACAACTTTTCAGGTTTACGAATCCTGACAAATGTATTTCCAGATTTTCCTTCTTACTTTGACATTATAATAAATATCATGTATTATATATTATGTCTTTATTTAAGCTGTACAACTACTTTGAGGACAGCAACTATGTGTACTTGGTGTTGGAAATGTGCCACAATGGAGAGATGAGTCGGTACCTTAAAGAGCGGAAGATGCCTTTCTCTGAGGATGAAGGTCAGGAAGAACTATTTTAAATAGTAAATGGTTTAGTGAGGTTAAGTTTTGTGCCTGCTTTAAAAAACAACATGTTTTTGTTCCACAGCAAGACATTTCATGCATCAAATAGTGAAAGGAATGCTGTATTTACATACTCACGGCATCTTGCATCGAGATCTGACCTTGTCAAACCTTTTGCTGACCAGCAACATGAACATTAAGATAGCAGACTTTGGCCTGGCCACTCAGCTCAAACTCCCGAATGAAAAGCACTTCACCATGTGCGGGACACCCAACTACATCTCCCCTGAGGTGGCCACCCGCAGTGCTCATGGCCTGGAATCAGATGTGTGGTCACTGGGGTGCATGTTCTACGCCTTCCTGATGGGTCGTCCCCCATTTGACACAGACACAGTCAGGCACACCCTGTCTAAGGTGGTTCTTGGTGAATATGAGATGCCTAGCCATGTTTCTCTAGAGGCGCAGGACCTGATCCATCAGCTGCTGCAGAAGGACCCCGCCCAACGGCCCAGCCTCTCTGCTGTACTGGACCACCCGTTTATGACCCAGAGCTTGCTGGTCAGGACCAAGGAGCTGGGGTTGGGGGATGAAGGATCCATGGACAGCGGCATTGCCACTATCTCCACAGCCTGCACCTCCTCCACCTCAGCAGGCAGCAGCAGCCGCCTGCAGAGGAGAACCAGGCACATGATTGGCTCTGCCCTGCCTAACCGCATGGCGCCTGTTCCAAGTCTTCCACGTCAACACAGCAGCGCCTGTTTTGAGGACGGAGACCAGTGGCGGCAGCAGCAGCAGCAGCAGCAGCATCTGGCGGACAGATTTCACAGAGAGGGCAGGGGGGTTCATGGTGGAGAAAGTGGACAGCCTCATTCTCGCTACCTGAGGAGGGCTCACTCTTCAGATCGCTCCGGCTCTTCTGCATCAGGCCAGGGGCCGAGTCACGCCGAGCTGGGGAGATGCCACTCAGAGGAGACTCTGACTGGTTTAGGAAGACCGGTCTTCCCCATGTCCTCCACTCAGCACCCGTTTCCAGAGTGTGGAAGGCTCCCCTCCCCTCCCGTCAAACAGTCATCAAAGTAAGAAGTCTCTCTATTCATGATCATCTGTTCAGTTTTGCACATTAATGACAAGTGACACAACAGTTACATTACACTTTCTGTTTCAGTTGTGGGTATTCATTATCCACACAGACTGCACATCCACCAAGCTTGCAATTTCAAGACCTGGAGGGAGTTACTAATTGGCTCAATAATGAAGGTAAAATTAAGTTATTTGGTTTTGGATTATCTCGTGCCTTGTTTGGGGACACTGCCTATGAATATGTTGTTATTAGCGTATTTACCCTTATATACCCTATATAGAGGCGACTATACACTCCAGTAAGAATGAAACTTTAAACTCTCTAAACATAATTAAAACCATCCTGTTCAAGCAAATCATTTCTCTTCTGCCTCAGCTTCAGGGCACAGGCCCACAGACAGCAGCACTCACAGCAGCAGCGGCAGCTTCCACAGCAGCAGAGGACCTTTAGGGGTTCACAATTCCTGGACGGACAAGCCCATGGGCCGAGCTCTGAACCAGCACCACATGCACCACAGCCTTCCCTCCAACTCTGACTCATACAGGGAAAATGTACCCGGAGCAGAGTTCCAGACTCCTCACGGGAGAGAGTTAAAGCTCCCTTCAGCCAAGCCCACTGTGGATAAGGAAAAGAAAACGTTGAGACACATAGTCCCGCCCCTGTGCGCGTCCAGACTGAAACCTATCAGACAGAAGACCAAAAATGCTGTTGTAAGATGATATCTTTTGATTATCTGTTCATCTTCACTGTGTGAGCAGTTGTTATTATTGCTGATGTCTTTTTTTTTTCTTGTATTTCCTAAAGGTGAGCATCCTAGACACAAGTGAAGTGTGTATGGAGTTGTTAAAATGCCACAATGGTCAAGAGAGGGTCAAAGAAGTCCTTCGGATTTCCTGTGATGGTTCAATGGTAAGCTCACAAAGTATCTCTTAATTTGACCACATTTGACTGGATGGGGGCATCATAACAACATAATATGACTTAAGGCTGGTTGCACAATATGATAGGAAAGGTATTACCATCATCTCTTGTAGGTGACGATATACCAGCCTAATGGTGGAAAGGGTTTTCCTGTCCTGGACTGTCCTCCTGCTCCTCCAGAAGACATTCTGATTTGTAGCTACGAGGACCTTCCAGGTATTCTGATGGATGCATCACACAGTCATCTGATGTAAGAATTTAAATTGTATGTTGATCAATTTATTCTTTGTCACAGAAAAATATTGGAAGAAGTACCAATACGCCTCCAAGTTTGTGCAGCTTGTTAAATCCAAGACCCCAAAAGTGACCCTTTACACCAAGCATGCAAAGGTCATGCTGATGGAGAACTCCCCGAACGCAGACCTGGAAGTTAACTTTTATGATGGTGAGTCATGTGTGTGTGTGTGTGTGTGTGTGTGAGAGAGAGTGAGAGAGAGAGAGAGAGAGATGCTGAGTACTGTTTGAGTTCACATGTTGTGCTTCATACACACTCATGCTGTGCAGGAGCAAAGACCCACAAGACGTCTGAGCTGGTGCGGGTGGTAGAGAAGAGCGGGAAGTCATACACGGTGAAGGGCGAGGTGGGGTTGAGCGGCCTGAGCCAAGAGAGCAGGCTGTACGTGGAGCTGTCGGATGAAGGCCACAGCATGTGTCTGTCCCTGGAGGCCGCCATCACAGCAGAGGAGCTACGCAGCACCAAAAATGTCCATTTCTTCCCCATAACTATCGGCAGGTGAGGGGAACACGTTGTTATCTGTATATTGTTGGATTCAATGCTGTCCTTGCCATGTGTGGCTAATGGTAGTTGTGTGTACATCACCCCTCCTAGGAGACCTGTCAACCCGGAGTCCCCATGCTCATCGTCCCTGCCCTCCCATCCGGTGCCTCCTGAAACGGCATCACCTCCTCAACCTCCACAAATCACTCCTTCAGTGAGTATCTCACAGCCCTACACTTCAGGATGTATGAACAGAAGGTTTAGAGACTTCAACAGCCAGTCTGTGATGAGATTTCTCTTTGATTTTTAAAATGTTTTTTTTCCCAGATGATCTCCTATGATGGGTCTGATTTCACCACAGCCAGTCTGGGTAAGAAGGGCTCCCCAGTGCGACAGGACCTGGTACAGAACACAGGAAAAGTGGTTAAGTCGATATTTGTACCCAATGTTGGATGGGCATCCCAGGTAATTCACAAGTTCATTTTATATTTTACAATCAGCAAAAGAATTGTCTTTGTGATAAAAAAAGATCTCTGTTTTTGTATCCATAGCTGACGAGTGGCGAGGTGTGGGTGCAGTTCAACGACGGGTCTCAGCTGGTGGTTCAGGCAGGAGTCTCCTGCATTACCTACACTTCTCCAGAGGGGAAGCTCACCAGGTACTAAACATGTTAGAAATGTGTCGCTTTATGGGCGTGTGTCTATCAGCTGTGTTATAAAAAGACCGTTGGGGGACTGCTGTAAATAATCAATCTAATCTTTAGAGGGAGATTCTTAAACTACAATACAGTACATCCTGGAGCCTGCAGCAGCTGTTTTAATTCAACAGTAGCCCCGCTATCGACAGTTACAAAAAAAAATTAACAGGAAACAAATCAATTTCACACAATGCTCTTGCGAGTTACAGTAACAATTAAATGATTGTTATTGTAACTCGCAAGAGCATTGTTTAATTATCAACTATTAAATGATTATCGATAAACAGAATGTTTTTCGGTTCATATATTTGCAGAAGTGACCGTTTCTCTTCTCTACAGGTATAAGGAGAACGAGAAGTTGCCAGAACACGTCAAGGAGAAGCTACACTGTCTCTCCACCATCCTGGGACTGTTGGCCAACCCAACAGCACATCATCTACAACCTCATTAACACCTCATGGTTAAAAACCCCCCATCAAAAGTAGCATTAGAAACCTGTATACTGTGTTTTGTCTAGTCTTGTATGTATATATGTATGTGTTGTTTTTTTTACATGTACAGAAGTCTTAAGATTATGAAAAGATATATTTTTATTTTGACAAGTTAACATTTTGTATAGAGTCTGAGTTGGCCTTGTTGAAAACATTTGCGTCATGTGTCCGTTTTTTTTTTTTTTTTTACTGTGTCTCCAATTCTATGAAATGTGATTCATAAATGCTGAGAGAGAATCAATAAACATCCGGAGGCTGGGTGGAGAAATGCTGCACCTCGTTTTACAGTCGACATATTCATGAATTTTTTTTGTAGAAAGAAATTAAAGTGTTTAGAGCTACCTCATGGTTTTTAGTAATACAGCATTTATAAATACATCAAGTAAGCTACCACACATGCAGGATATCATTAAAACTTAGATAAAGGTATAAAGCAGTTATGTGCTAATAGTGACCATATGAGAACAACGAAATGGATTTAGCAGAATTAGAAGAAATTTCAGCTTGTTGTCATGTAACAGTTCTAAAGGTGTGTGTGAATGTAATGATATCAGTATATTATATAAATAAGAAAACCTACAGAAAACAGGACAAAACAGCATTTACCCACAAATAATCAGTAAGGAGAAGCTAAATTAAATGGAGCCAGATAAGGTTTCACATGTTTATTTCACCCTGTTGGTTTGGCCCTTTAATTTAAAAAAGGTCACAAAATTGTGGCTTCCTCTCAATTACAGAACTGATACAAAATAACATACTGTACGGATGTAAGCCTAGGCATATATACACGTACTGTACAAGATGTAAACATTCAGGTGGAAGCTGGGAACATGATGACACAGTCTAGGTTGCAGAAATGACCAAAGGTAGGATTAACCATTTATTTCCCATTTAGAAGCACGATAAGGAACACAACATAGGACATAATATAGTGGTGTACACAGATATCCTCTCCAACCTAAACAGGTGCACACCCAAATCTTTGCCCCCATTTCAAGATGAGCAATTGGGGGAAAGGGTCCCCTGAACCTGCTGCAACACCTTTGTATTTTGAATTTGTTGCTTCATGACACTTGTCACTGGTATTCTTTTCCCCCCAGAGAGATGCTGGATGACATGGCTACAAACATCTGTATTCTCTGCAGGTTGGCTCTCCTTTCCACTAGATGCTAGAGGGAGACAACAGCATCAACCACAAGCTCATTAGTCCCTTTGATACCACCTGTACAACCAGACCCAGCATTTTCACCATACCTCTTGTTAATAGCCACTGTTTGATCAAAAACAGCCCGTGCTTTCATTTCATTTCAATTATATAAAACATTTTCCCCCATAAAATCTCATAAAATAAAGTTGCTCTTAGTAGATATCAGGACAAAGATATTAACAAAATTTGAGTAAAAAAATCTCACAGTGAACACTGGGAACAAGAGCTGGACCGTCTCCCCCACTTCCCCTCCAAATGATTTTAACATGTGACACAAATACAGCAGCTGGAATAGAAGACTAGGTCGGAGAATTTAAGCTTGAAGCAAATGAACCGACTGGACTGAAGGTTTCTTTAACTGCATTTTGTAATTGCTGTTAAGACTAAAATTAAATCAAATGAGGTATTAAAGCTGAACAAAGTCCTCGCTTATCTAGAACTGTGGTTATTTAATGGTATCAAAATAATTGATACCCAACTGTTGGGTATCCAAACACACATTTTACCTCATTTTTGTGGAATAATTGATTTTCTGATAAACAATTCTATAAATAGTGACAAGCTACACAGCAGCCCCAAGTCTATTTATAGGTCAAGTTGGCCTCAGGAGAGTAGTTTGCTCACATTGCAGATTCAAGCATTGAAGACACATGGAGAGTCTGTTTAAGGAGACTACAAACCCATGAAGTGATGAGAGAAATCGCACAAGATCCCACTTGGAATTCTGAAAAATCATGGAATTCTCTGAAAACATCCACAAACACAAGAAGGGAATGTGATCCTCATCTTCCTGCACTGGAGCCACTCAAACAAGGACACGGGTAGTTTGTTGAACATCCGGGACTCGACAAAGTAAAACACTCAAAAGACCTATAAACATTGGTGCAACAACAATCATCCAAAAAAAACAAAAAAACCTTGGTCACATGGTCATGGAGATTTACTTTTGTTTTTTTAAACCTTTGAAGATCATGTTTTCTTTCCTGCAGGCATCCTTCCTACGCTCTAAGTGAATTTGATGGCACTCGGAAAAGTTAAGCGCTTACTTGTTTGTTCAAACTAACTAAACCCAAAACTATCCTGTCGTTCATGTTCAGGGTCATTATGTCTTCCGCCGTCAGATGGCCACAGTCACGTAGCAGCCTGAGATCTGTGGAGTAGTGTTCGAATGTCCAGCCACCTTTTCTCCCCCTCACTTTGTGCCGAGGAATCAGTGGTATTGACCAGAATACAAACACACATCACCGGCATGGTCTGTCGCAATGCAAACGTACCTGCGTGTATGTATGAGTGTTTATGCGTGTGTGCGGGAGATACAACGGATCATACATTGCACATCTTTCTCCAGTCCCGATTCGGCCATTCCCAGTAGCTACCTCATCTGGACCCTTTTTCATTACAGAGAACTCACATAAGAGAGAAAAATAAAATCAGCTATTAGGCTAAAGTTCCCAAAAGTTCACATTACAGTACTGTTAAGTCTCATTAGACAAAACGAAAAATACAAAAAAGGCAGAGAGAAAAAAGCTTACACCCAATCACCATCATTTTCAATAACTATATAGGAAAAGGTTTGCTTTTTGATTAGATATATTATCATCATTAACATCATAATTATTATGATTATTCATTATTATTGTCACCATTGTCATCCGTTTTTTGTTCAGGGATCAAACGGAGTGGGGGCAGGGGATCAGTTACTGGGAGGAAGCCTTGGTAGCTATTGTGGAGACACAGTGCTGCTGGAAGTTGGGGGACATAGCTGAGTTGCAGCCCAGTCTCTGACGGGGGCCCTTCAGCCCTCCGTCACCCTCTACGATCCAGGGGCTGCCGCTGGCCTCTTTCCCCAGCATGCTGCAGCAGCCGGAGGCCGGCGGGGCGGCGTTAGGTACTGTGGTGCTCACCGGCAGGGTTTTGGATTGCTCGCCGGCAGGGGTGAAGTCTGGGTTGTGGCTCTGAAGCACGCTGGTGATGTGGTTCAGGAGGTCATTGAAAAACTCAGAGACACCCTCATAACCTGAGGACACGGGAACAGTCAGTCAGCTAATTCAGCTTTAGACCATGTTCCAAATGTTCACGAGGGTTGCTTGTACAACAATTTCAATTATAAGCCTGTTCATATACCATCGAGATACCTCTCTCTCTCTCACTCTCTCTCAAACAGCTTGCTGTTTAGGTAATGCTAAACATTCTAGTCATAACATGATAGGTTAGGTTTTAACCTTAAAATTTTAATATTCTGTTTCATTTAATTATACTGCCTCCCAGCTATTGCATTTTTTTGGGTTGATTTAATTATAAAATGTGGTTAGTAGAATAACATTGTAGTTCATGTGCACGTTTTGACCTCAAACGCAGAGTTCAGGATTACACAGGTGACAGAGGCATTTATTTAATAGAACTGGCTGCGTTATCTGCTTAATGTGCAGATAAACAAAACAAGATGATCAAATAAAAAACAACCCCCGCCTGCGAACGGGAGGCTGCACCTACCAGGGAATGCGTTGATGTCAATGACGGCATGTTGGCCTGTTTGGTTGTTGATGATGACGTCGATGCCAAAGAGGGACACGCCCAGCGCCTGCCGCAATGACCTGGACAACTCTCGGATGACGTCATCATTGGGTGGCTGAGACACTCCCTCCACGTTCTCTCTCTGAGATAAAGATAAAATATTAAAGTATAATAGCAACAAAAACTCATAATATCACAGGATGGCAGTCGGTGACATGTTGGACGTACCGTGGTCAAGTCTGAGGACGACTCTGGTTTGGAAACATTGTGGCTGTTGAAGAAAATTGCTTTCCTGTCTGAAAAGGAAGCGGAGGAAAAAAGGTGAGGTTGATTTTTCCATTTCTCACCTCGGGCACTAGATGGCAGCAAAGCTCAACTGTGCACAGTGCAATGAGGCAACCATTCCGTTTTACTAAATGTCTTCATTTACTGGTGTAAAGAAAACAGAAACCCAAAACTAGACCACCCTGGTGTTAAGTCTTTTAACCTTTAATCTTCTCAGTCAAACGTATCATGTTGAGTATTCACTGAAAGGTGGGGTATGCAATTCTAATCCAATACACGTCTTTTTGTCAAATTCAGCGCATGTCTCCTCTCGGTCTAGCTGTCCATTCTGTATGTGCTGAAAACAAATCTGGTGTTTGTACACAGCCCTGGCTCTGTAAATGGGAAACAAACAAATGACTCGGACTGAACTCCAAATCACTATTCCAGCCATGATTTGTGTGTCTGGTGACATTAAATTACTTGCCCACGGACATTCAGCTTACTTTCTAGTTCGCCAAGATATGCTAGTGTTGTGGTGTTAGCTATAGTAGCAGGAGAGCTGCGAGTGTCGCTGTCTGGAGCTGGTGTGCTGGCTCTGGGACCGTCTCCTCCTCTCTGCATGTTAGCTTCGCAGCAGCAACTGTATGTCATGTCATGGTATTGGATTTCTCCAGAATCCCATACCCCACCTTTAAGAACAAAACAGCTTGTAAGTTGTGTGCCTCGGTCGAGGGATCGTCTTTGAAGCAGTGATTAATTTGACGGGAAGAGCTGCAAAACTTACTGGCCCTTCTTTCTTTGTTATCATTGTAATGATTAACATTAGAGAGTGTGAGAGGGAAGGGCGAGGGGTGGAGGGAAAAAGTAAATTCCATCACTGTCCAAATAAATATGCCCCTCGGCTTGTAGAGGGTCGTGGTAATGAAGTGTTGGGCAGATGGGCTCCTACATTCCCAGACTGGATTAACAAACACCAGTTTAACTTGACAGAAACATGGGAAGGAAGGCTGGATACGACAGAACATCTCTCCCACCGTTATTTTTAAGTTCTTTCCAAACTCTCAACCCTACTTCTCTCCATCTTCTTACCTTACCCTTTCATCCTTCCAATTAGTGGATATAAAACTAAATGTATAGCCCTAGGCTGCAGAGTACGGTGATGTAAATGCGGTGCAGATGTAACATTGTGCTATGTTGCTTTAGGTGTTTGACAGGAGCTGCACTTTTCTGCTGCACCAATCAGCATTCCAACTGTTCCCTCTGCAAAGCAGACTATTTCACTGACAGTGAAACCTGGTTTGCATGA